CGCTGCCACCATTCCGGCACAGACGCCGATTCCTAGAAAGGATGTTCGTCAGAACAACATGGTGGGAGGTACGAAGTACAGTGCACCGACTTAGTAGATGGATATTACCAACTGATCATGAGAGTGAGTGATATTCCGCTGACAGCGGCGAGCACTCCGAGCGACATTCTCTGGGAGTGGCTGGTGATGCCCCAAAGGCTTTCAAATGACCAGCAATGTTTGATAGTCTTGTGTTCCAGTTGATCAGGCCCCACAGGGCGTATGCACAGACATACTTCGGGGCTGCCGCAGCTCTTTGCTTAAAGGAAGTTAAGCCAAGGTCACCGGCTCTACGTTATAACCAAGAAACAGTACGAGTGCTCAAGCTTAGCCGAGGTAAAGGGACGCTTCCGTTTAAATTTAAGACTAAATTTTATTGTTTTAGTTGCGGCAGAGCCGCCTTTATCTAAATCCCTAGGTTTATTCAGTTAAGTAAGTCTAATTAATATAGTAGCACCTAATCAACATAATAAAATCAAATTGATATGCATCACTACCGGCAATTCTGCCACGTAGTAGCTTCTTGTTACGGTGTAGCCACACCATTGTCTGATTACACCACTTGAGTAATCCACACGCACACAGTCATACCATCTTGTGTGACCCGCCATTTCATAAAAGGTTACGTGAAACTCCGTTACACTCTGGGTACGTGTAACCCCGTTACAAATCACCTCAAGCCAAAATGATTGTCATTCACTTCCCGCAATCGATAACGATATTGTATCGATGGAGCGTCTCTGCGCGGATGTGGCTCGCGTCAAATCTTTAGGTACCACTAAAAAGGTTTGGGGAATCAATCATCAATACAATAACATCAAGCACATCTGCAGATCCGCAATGGTCAGGATGGACGCGGCAAGCGGTGGGTATCCAACCGACCATACCCAAAGAATGCTTCAACTAGTAGAGTCCGCGTTTCCATGCGCAATGAGGATTCGCTTAATGGGTGGCCCGAGGACGCAAGGCTAAGATTCTCCGAAGTGCGAGGACTAAACACAATAAGTGATAAATATAGACTAAATAAAACGAGTTGAAATGGTTATCCATTGAACTTACGTAAATCATTGCATGAGGCAGCCCACGTGCTTAAAATCTTTTCTGGTCTTGCACCTTACGACTCCAATATTGTGCTAGTACTCAATCACTGTATTATGTGACGTTATTATATCATGTTAATCCTCCACAGAGCTAGTTTCACTGCCCTTACCTTCACTCAAGTGAGAGGCCTGAGTTATGCTAGGCCGTATTAAGTCTTGACATATCTCAAGCATCGTTCACTCACGTACGACGCGAGACTGTCAGAATAGTAGGTAGTACGTAGAGGCAGTAAAGATAACTACAAATCTGATAATTGTGCATCGTGCGGCAT